CTTAATAATAGGGTATTGGCTCATAGGAAGAATGATATGAAGTAGTAGTTCACAGAAGCAAACTGATTCAATGTATACAGTGTGTCAGAAAAGAAGAAAAGAAATATATATTTTTGGACCCAATCATACTCAGAGAAACCTAAAAAGTAATTTAAAGACTAAGCTAAAGATAGAGCTTGTCAATTTTAACATGAAACAAGAACAATCATAGTAGTTTTGTACACAGAAGAGTTTCTGTAAACTTAAATTTTTAAAATTCCTTTCTCCTGGCCACCCCCCAAATCATAGATATAAAACTACTCTAAGTAAATGACAACTTCAGATAAAAAAAAGAAAGTGACAAACTTGAAAAGAAATAGATAAGATCTAACTGTAGTCACTGAAAAGGAGGAATTTTAGAGTCAAGAAGTTTTTGATTTCTGCTAATCAGCGTGGCATATATGTTGGGTATTTTGTCTAAAGGAAATAAAGTCAAAATTTGTAATAAATAGAAATATAAGGAAATTTACTATTATATTTTTTCCTTAGTTAATTATTGCATTAATGCAGAAGTGTCCATGGAGGAGGAAAAATGGTAGAAAGTTGAAATGCAGTGGAAGGATTTTAGAAGGAATCACTCAGAAAACAAATATTCACAACTGTTCTTCACTCTACTATGATATCTCAAGCTTCCATCCTACCAAATTTCTGAAGGGCATTAGCTGCATCAGCTGCAGCTTCCTTGTTAAAAAAAAAAAAAAAATCCCTAATTGCTGGTACGCAAACTGGCTTAGGTTTAAGTTTTACTTAAGTTTTTGGGCAGACGGCCTGTATTCTGAAGGTATCAATCTCTTTTGCACCTCAACTTCACAGCTGGGCAGAAAACAACAGGGCCAAACCACAAGCTGAGAGATTAGGAGGGGTGCCAGAAGGACACTGACAATAACCTTTCCAAAACATTACTGTTCAAGGCTTGCTGAAAAATGAAAGTTTTGGGGGTGAGAAGCTGCAGTGACACAGGAGCCACTTCAGCATCAGCCTAGCATGATACTGTTTCAAGGTCAGTGAGTAAGGTGAACCTGTTCTTTAGATCTGTTGTCAGAAACAAATGTCAGGCATAACTCTGGTGGTGGTGGCTTTTGCCCAGGTTCTACAGTTTCATGTTTTTAAGTTATATATATGTATACATATAAAGAGCAAGGGTTTTGTTCTAAGACTAGGCTGCCATTTCTGTATTGGACATGTAAGTAATGAGTAACCAATGAAAAAATAAATTTCTATGTGATATTTATAGCAATGTGCTCCCACCTGCAGGGCATGTGCATTTACTGACTTGAATACATTCTCTGAGTCAGTCAGCCACAATCAGGTTAAGACTAATTTCACTGAGTTAGACATGCATGCATTAAGAAACTCAAAATTATATTAGGTATAACTTTTATACCTGCAAAGGTGCTGCCACCATATTCCTGAAGAAATGTGGTGGCCGTGCAGACTCTCAGTTATGGGGAAAGATAGAGAACTCTGCCCAACCTGGAAGCTAAAATTTCCTACTAGGAAATCTATTGTCACATCTCAGTTCTCTAAGACTGAAAGTACTGTTGGGCTGGCTCCAACCCAAACAGTGGATTCTGTCTTCAATCTTCAATCTTGTAAACCTGCTTCTTTTATTCCCCACTGCAATTTTTAAAAATACTCAATGCCTTAACCATTTTTAATTTTAGTCTTAAAATGTAAGTGTGTATTGAAAAAAACATAAGAAGGATTAACAGTATGTTTGATAATGGGCCAAGGAGCTATGTAAGGATAGAAAGAATAAGGTGGAGAAGTGAGTCCAGTTGGCATAATTTCAACACAGTTCTTTTTCTCCATGATCCTACTTCCATTGAAAAATTACTATTCCAGAAAACTCTGACTTCTGATACTTTTGTAAATAATGCTTCATACATTAGCAGTACATGTAAAAACATGTGTAAAATAAATCCCTTAGGAAGTTACAATTAAATTTGACACAATTTAATGATTTCATTTAAAAATATTTTAAAATAACATTGAGATAACTCAGAAAACACTAAGTTTGGGTTGATTCAGCTGAATTGCATTGTGAGTTAGATTAGAATTTGCTAGACAATTCATTTTTAGAAGGAAAGGGAAATTCTATTCCTGTCATCATGCTCTGTTTTAATATAACACAGCCCAAGTTGGAGGAAAGTGGCCTTTAAAGTTATTTTTGCCCCTTTTCATTGTAAAGTTTTTAATAAGACTCATGACATAAACATAAGAGGCAGGGCAGAGACAGTAGGATGACCATGGGAAAGAGAGGAAGAGACTACTTGGAAATACAGACAGGAATATGGAGACTACTGAGAAAACAGAGGAATAAGCCCGAGCAAATATTATGACTTTGAGCTATACAACTACATAAATGCATACGTAAAAATTTCTTCTAGAAATTACATTTTAGAAAGATTCAATACATTTTATGTAAGCCGAAGTACCTAAAAAGGTACCTAGTGTAAGTCATGAAGAAAAATATAATGAATATTGAATGACAAATAAAGGAAAAAACAAAATACGGACAAATGGCAAATTATTAGAGGAAAATTAGGTTTCTGATGGACATATACCCTTTACTGATGAACTAATGACCTCATACACAATGTTTGCTCTGAATGATTCATTATGCAAAGGTGGAAAGGGTCTAGAGTCTAAGAAAACAATCTCTTCTATCCCCTAAAGATCAGGCAATTACAGCATAGCTGGCATAATAATTTCATTAATAATAACTTGAAGTCTAGTATATTGGTGCTGCTAATGCCAAATTACAATCAGTCACAAATACTATTTCTTTAGTTTACTGAACAGGTAATACATTGATTCCTGCTTTATTTTAATTGCATTTTGCTCTATAAATCAGAAGGCAGAACAAAATCTGATCTTGGAAGACTTCCCACATATGTAATTACTGATATACTGTATAAGAACCAGTGACTTTGTGGCTTGAGAGATATAATGTAAGAGTTAAAATGATATTGTGTGAAGTATAATCCAAAGCTCCAAAAAGCTATTTCACATCAAAAGAAATACTGTTAATCTCAGCTGGGAGAGAAAAATCATCTAACAGACAACTAAGACCCAAGAGAAGGTCTCATGAAAATAGATCCTAACTTCAGGGTTTTATAGCTTTACAAAAATAAATCTATTGTTACATTCCCTAAGAGATAATTCAGCCAACTTTAGAGCTCTAATGTGAATGTTTTGAACTGTAAGAAGTAGAAGAAGGAATAACGTCCTGCACATCTATCAATTAAGTTCCATTTTATTGGCTTGTCAGGTATTTATCAGCAACTTTAAATCCAAGAATTATGGGAGCTCAAGATTCCTGGCATCTTTGGGCTCATGGACGACTTTTCCTATTCCTAAATATCTCCAGGGCACAGGGACTGTCACTTCACTTGGCAATCCATTATGGTGCTCAGCTACCTACCTGTCAACGAGTCTACTTTATTTCTGTCTTGGAAAATCTTGATACAACCCTGATGAGCAAACTTGGCGATGCAACAACATTTCATTTTTTCACTAGACTTGTTTTTATTGACCACAGAGGAAAACTGAGCTAATTCTAACATGACTTTTATATACCTCCCTGGCTTTAATCACGAAGGGGAAATTTTCTTCAACCTTTCAGTTCTGTCTTGCGATATAGATCTTAAATTGACCCTGTTTGGTTGTGTCAATTCCAGTGTGCAAAGGGTTTTTAGGCGTTGAAGGAGACACGTTCAGGTTTTATCAGAGAATAAACCATAATTCTCCCTTGTCTATCTACCTTAAATTTTCCCTAGTCTATATACAGTCCCTAAAACTCATGAAATTGTATCTCTTTGTTATTATTTATAACAGATTGATCAATTAAAATCCACAAAAGAAAGGAATTAATCTGTTTTGATTAAATTATCCAATTTGATGAAGCAGGCAATAGGCAGAAACTTTTGCTGGGTAATTAAAAGAATTCTTCCAGCAAATCCTGCTAGAGTTTGTTCCTGAAAGCAACTACAGCTCAGCCACACAAGTTCTTCATCTCTCTATTCCATGTCCTTATAGGAGAGCCAACTGAATGAAGTCTTTCATATCTGTATGGAAAACCAGAGGTACATTTTCCCTACCAATCTTTAGACCTTAAGAAAAATCAGAAGACAAGTTTCTCAATGAAAGCTATATTGCCATTTTGAGTAGTACAGTCCTTCATTGTGCTTGAAGGGCAAGATGTTTAGTACTCCAGTACCTGTCCCACAGATGTCAACAGTGGTCCCAGGTGATGAGACCACTGAAAATGCCCACACCCTCTTACAATGCCCCTTTAGGATTATAGATTTTTCCCTGATGAATGCTGTGATCCATCCAAGTCATGCTGATAATTTTTAAAAAGCTTCCCTGATATAGGCAGGGGAGAAACTGATTACTTGAAAAGCATTTTTAAAATTTAACAAAACTGATTTTATTTATATATATATATATATATATATATATATATATATATATATATATATGTGGCTGGAAGATTTCAGGTAGTTTTATTTTCTTTGGTCTATAATGCCAGTAAAGAGGAGTTAGCATCTGCTTATCAGGTGAAAAGAATGATTTACACGCCGAGAGTTCAACCTGTTGTGGACAGGACACAAGGAACAGAAGAACTGGACTCAACCAGCAGTTTCTGTTCAAGAAAAGGTTAACACCCTAAATTAGAGAGCAGGAGGTTGAAGACTATGTGTAACATTTTTGCAGAAGCTTTGCTACACCTTTACCGGCAAATAGACAGACTGAGATGCCAATGGAAAGGGGCTACAGAAAATAAGGAAAAAAAACAAGAAACAAAGATAACCTTGGAAAGCAACTTGAGATTCTAACTCCCTATTGCCTCAATTCCAAATCCAATTACATGTCTAAAGGGAGCTGCAGAAACTTAGCTGAAGGGTCAGTTGAGATTCTGACCACACAGCAGGAAGGTACAGGTCACATCTAACCTTTGCTGGTTTTAGTCGGTTCTGAGGACACATTTCCAGTCTTCTTCTTTTTTCTTGGGACAGGAACACATTTCCGGTCAAATGTAACAGGACTATATTGAGGAAGGCTGTTGAATTTTTTTTCAAATTCTTCATCCAGCTTTGCGGAGCTATTAAAAGGGGAGAGGGGAATCAATCAGCACCTGACCAAATATGACAGAAAATGACGCGAAATATATTTTAAGATATTCCATTTGAAAACAGGGTCTCTGGGTATTAGGGCATGTAAGAAAATTCTGTGCAAGGAAAAAAACATCTTTTCTGAAATGCTTGAGATTTAGCAACACAGTTTTCTTAGTAAACTCGTGTCACAGGTTATTACCTTAGAAAAGTAGAAACATCATTTATAGTATTAGAATGTTTTAGAAGTGGGGAATTTGGCATTCTCTCCACTGACATATGAGCTTTTAATAAAGTTCAGTACAAAGCATACTTTAGTCATACAGTTTCTCATTTTACAGACTCATATACATGTATATAGGGCAAGCTTATTGGTAATATGATATATTGGTAGTTTTGTAAGGTTAGTTACTTTAAAAAAAACTTACTGACTACTGTTTGATTAAAACATAAACAAAAAGCATTGATATTAGGAAAACATTCTGGAGAGTTGAGTAGAATAAAGACAAAATATTCAATGAGCAGAGTAAAGCCAGTTTCAATGAATGCCCTGGCACAGAGGCAACATGATTTAACCTAAATCACCAATGACTTCAGAAATGCCACCAGCAAAGTTGTGCATCTCTGGGCTGGTGCTGACTGTCTCTAAGGCCCCACAGCAATGGCAACATGCCTGCTGGATCCTAGGCTGGCTTCTGGCTTTCATTTAGTGAGACTTATTAACTAACGTGCAACCTAGACAGATGGAAGAGGCTGTAGGAGAACTGCTACGCTTGGTAGATAGGAAATGGAAGATGTATTGGGAAAAGGAGAGCAATTTTAGTACCAAGTTATAAGAAGCAAATGTGTTAGGCTGCTAGCTAAGGGATGTACTAGAAATGTTCTTAACTAAAACCGTTTTGGAGGAATATACAAGAGTTGAGAAGCAGAGAGAAGAGGGTCAGATGACTAATTGAATGGTCACCAGGAAACGGCAATTACGGAAGCGCCCCCTTACGAGGCGGGATATGCTCCAAGACCCACAGTAGATTCCTGAAACCACCAACAGTAATACGCCTTACATATGCTACATTTCTTCCTATGCATGCATATTGTACAGTGGGATATGATAAGACAAGGGTATGATTTACGTACCGGGTGGAATGAAGTGGGATGGCATGAGATTTCATCATGGTACTCATTGCGGAGCATAATTTAAAACTTATGAATTGTTTATTTCTGGAATTTTCCATTTAGTATTTTCAGACCCAAAACCACAGAAAGCAAAAATATGGCTAAGGTGGAACTGCTGTACTAAGTTCTATCAAAGCAATGAAGCATAATGGGTGGAGGTGATGATTTTCCCTTTATAACATCACCTTTTCTCATTCAGTTAAAAAATGTTTATTCTGATGGAAAATCAGATACAATTTGATACTAATCAAATACTATCAGAAAGCTGTCTGTAAGTTGCGAATTTTTCAGATACTCTAAATACCCAAAAGAAAACTAAAAATGTGAGATGTAACTCATTAGGTCTCTTAAGACTTTTCTCAGTAAGAGAACAATAATAATAATTTATGTTTTTCTTAGAGAAGTCTATTAAATTAGATCTGTCAATACTGAGAGAATGTTTCTTGGCTACAGTTAACAGGTAGCACATTTTCTGAGATAAAAAAGGTTTAAAATGCTCATCTACAAATCTCAGAACAGACTGACAGGAAATGCCATTTCTCCCTGCTTAAGTATTATACTGGCGTGTTCTAAACAAGGCAAACCCAAATACTCAAATCCTGGACGGCCAATATTTAAAGGGGGAAAGGAGGAAACGGCACTGAAGTTTACTGTTAATTTAAAGCTGTAAAAAGCCATCTCCCAGATATACACATGTGCCTTCCTCAGAAATGATTAAAAAACAAACACATACAATCCACATACCAATCTCTTTTCAGGAACAGATTTTCAAGATTGTTTCACTTATCTTGTTCCTCAAAGAAAATTGATGAAAATCTCTCTTACAGCTTCAGCAGTTTCTAATAGAAGCATCAGAGAAATGCTTCTGCTGGGGAGCCTCAATGCTTGCTTTATTCCCCTAGGACCTCACATTGCCTACATAATGCCTGCTCCTCTCTTGGTGTGCAGACCCACAAGGCAGTGACAGTTCTTCTAGAATGCATAAGAGCACTGGTCTAGATGCTTGCAGGTCATTTAAAAAAGATATTCTGCATTTAAACTATAATTTGACATTGAAATGTGAGCATTTTCATGTCATTATTTAAGCGAAATGTAAGCAAAACTAATTTGAAGTACTTTGGATTTTAAAAAATTTTAGAAATGAAATGTATAAAATTATAAATATATCATTTCAATATGAATAATCTTAAAGAGCCAGCACTCTGGGAAGTAATTTCTACCTCGCTACTTTGTGATGACCTAGAGTCTTAGAATTAGCCAGACTTAAAGCACTGCAATGTCTAAGGAAAAATATATCATTCCACAAACAGACAAGCAAATATTATGAATAAACCAAATGCAATACACCCAATGCATACAATTTGCATAGCTTTAAACACACTTAAGAAAAAAATACGGTGAATATAACAATGTACTTATTTCTATTGAAAGTATTCTTTTCCAATTGAGCCAGCAAGAAATCTCAAGAATTTTCAAAACAGTCTAACTGAATATGCAGATACTTTCCTCACCAATATAAATATTGGATCTCATAACTAGCAAAATGCTTTATATTAAGATGGTTATTAAGAGTCTTTGGCAAAACATTAAATATCATTCTTAGTGTTTTTATCTTGATGCCTGCCATTGCTTAATACTGCATTTCAATACATAATTAATATATTGAATATTCTCTACAACAGAATATTTGACCTAATATTTTTATATTAGAGCAATGGAAGACAGTTTGAACAAAATAAGGTCAGAGATAGAAGCATAATTTCATTTACCTTACATTTTTCAGCTGTCATATTTTATAAACAATAAATGCATATAGTATGTAAAATGGGCAAAATGTAAACATGCTTAACAGTATCCATTCTAAGCTTCAGATGGAAAAACATATCCTGGCGATATTAAAGGATTTACAATGTCACAGTACTATTATGTGGTAGATGTTGATTCAAAACTCAGGCCTAGGTCTAAAATCTACATATTTTCACCATTCCCAAAATGCGAATGATATTGTCATTCACATGACGATGTTAACAGCAGAAATAATGTGATGCAGTTGATTTGTGTTCAGTAGGGTGCCTACTAAGATTGTAGGCAGTGCTGAGTGACTAGTGAAAGAACAAGCATGCTTAGTTGGTGATTTATATTTACCTTGAAAATCCCACCCACACTTAAGGCCTGTGTAGTACAGGTGACTGGGCTCACAGGCACTTACCCAAGGAGACAGTCTTCCTTTGGCTTTGTCTTCTTGAACTTCTTGCTCCCACTGGTCCCACTCTGATTAAATGTCCAGCTTTCTTCATTCCAACACCCTTCATGATCAGAAGAGTTTCCTTTTCCTGAGCTTCGTTTCCCTAAGAAAATTCAAGAGAAAGGATATGCTTGGCATATGGGTGGGCAAGGGGAGATCACCTTAGTTGCTTCAGGAGCAACCTCTTGACTGCTCACATATCATTTGCATGACACTATTTGTAACTATTTCAGAGTTCTCAGAGTGATTCATGCTGGACCGCCTTTAATAATGGAACATGCAGAAAAGTAACTTAGAGCTTCTGGGATTAATTGCCATGTAATTCAACACGTATCACATGACTCAAAGGGACAGACTAACTGTTACTAGCTTTTCCATTTGAGAACCAGCCAAGGTATGTATGGGAGTCTTTTGCTGGTGGGCACTATTCATTCTAATTTCCCTAAAACTCACTGAACTGACATCCCTGGAGATGAAATAGACCCTCGTAACTTCATTTGGGCCTTGTTAGACCTAAGACTCACACATGTCTGGTTGGAATACAGCTTGGCAAAAGGTAGTCCTCCAGCCAGATGCTATATTTTAAAATAGATGAATTTATATGAAACACTCAATGGAATACAGGTATACATATTAACTGTTTTCTAGATATTATAATGTTTTAAAGAGCTCTTTGCTTCAAGTGATCCACCTGCCTTGGCTTCCCAAAGTGCTGGGACTACAGCTGTAAGCCACCAGGCCTGGCTCACTTCAGTTATACCTTTGATTACCTAATGAACAGAGCTACATAAGGCATTTGCTTCTGGAGCCAACAGGTCAAGACTTTGATAAACATATCTGCTCGATGCAGGAAATTCCACCAGTTTTAGAAACCAAACCAAAAGCTCCAAATATTTAATAATAATCTTTCAAAACAAAAAGTCAGCTCATAACAGTGGGGGGAAAAAGACATTAAAATTACTTTAAATACATCCCGAGAACTACCTACAAAATGAATACAGACTTTCCTTAATGGTGCTAGAAAACATGTAGGTAAAATAACAATTATGATCTATAAACCATAAAGAAATATACAAATATGTTATTTTGATGCCACATTGTTCTTTATGGCAGTTCTTTTCAATAGGCCTAAAGGTGAAATTCTAGTTGGTTTTTGTATTCTTTTCAGGTTTGTAGAAGCTACTTACCTCTGTCAACATTAGCTCGCAGAGAGGTGAGCATGCCCTCAGACACCAGGGTTTTATAAAGAGCACCTTTGCAAGACCTCTCGGATTTCCTGGAACCACAAGTTTCTATTTTTCTGTGACAGTCACTGTCCTCGGGTTTGGCCTGTCCTGATAGGCTGGGTGGTAGTGCATCTTCCATGGGGGTCAATGGTTCTGCCTTTATACCCTCTGGCGCCTCACCAGAAATGTTCTTGCTGGCAGAAATACAAATGAAATCTGAAGGTCTTGACTCTTTGGTGGTGTCTGAGGATTTCTCCTTTGACATTTTCTTCTCTCTTGATTTCACTTTTTTCTTTGGTGGCTTCGCATCCAAAATGCTTCCCTTGCCACTTGAGGATGTGCGGACCTTCTTGCGAGGGGTATCTCCAAGCTTCTCTATGCCCCAGTCTCCTTTTGCGACGGCTTCAATGGTGTATATGACGCTCTCAATGTCAGACTCTGAAGACTGCCTCTTTTTGCAAGCTTTCTTGGGTGTGGATTTATCATTTCCATGTCGATCCATTTTGCTTTTTTTCTTTTTCTTTTTTAGCTTTTCTGGCTTGTTTAATGCTGTGGGATCCTCAATAATCATAATTCCATGAGGATGGCACATGTGATCCTTTCTACTGGGAACATCACTTATTATTATCTTGCTACTGGCAGAATAAGAAAAATCAGGGAAATGACTACATTTTTGATCTTCTTCTAACTCTTCCTTTCTAATTTCTTTGGGATCTTCCATCTTTATAGCCATTATGTCATCTATTTGCAATGCTTCAAAATTTCTCAATTCCTTAGAATCTCTTACATTTTCCTTAGCCGATTTTTCAAATTCTGCTTCCTTTTGTAATCTGGTTTCATCTGTTTTCTCCATTTTAATTTCTCTTTCTTCCTTTCCCTTCTCTAATTCTTTAATTCTTCCACTATCAAATTCTTTTCCTTTCGTTAGCTTTGATTCTTCCATTTTCACCCCCTCTGATGCCAGGCACATCTAAACAATTAAAACAAAATGGGAGAGCACCCAAAAAATCCTTATTATTCCACCTTCAAAATTAAAGTTTTCAATTATATCCATTTTAAAAATAATCAAAACACACTTTAAACTTTACAACAATCAGCCTACTTCTGCCAAACTAACTGAAATGAATCAAATTAATAGAAGGCTGTGGGCACTGGCATACAATCATTCAACTCTCGTCAAAATATCTCTGAATTGTCATTTCCCAGTTTCAAAAGAAGCATTTCCTATGAAAACAAGACCTGGTAGAAGGAGGAGGGGATTCAGAGTTGAGAGACCCAAGTTTGATTCTTACTTTTGCTACTTATTAACTTTGCGACCCAGAGTGAATCACTTATCCCCTCACTCCTCTGTGGCTTCTGTAAAAGGAAAATAATCCTAGATTCTATCTCAGAGGATTCTGTGTGGTATAAGTGAGATGATGTACTTAACTGTAGTACAGGTTGAATATCCCTTATTCGAAATGCTTGAAAACCAAAGTGTTTCAAATTTGGATTTTTTTTTTTTAATTTTGGAGTGTTTGCATTAAATACTTACTGATTGAGAATTCTGAAACTGAAAATCAGAAATCTGAAATGCTCCAATGAGCATTTTCTTTGAGTGTCCTGTCAGTACACAAAAAGTTTTAGATTTGGCAGCATTTTGGAGTTTGGATTTTCAGATTAGGAATGCTCAGTCTGTTTTAATCATCCAAAAACTCTCTTCAGATGTTTGCTTTTTATTTTTTCCCCAAGGGAAATGAGGAAAACGAATAATTTCTCCCTGTCCACTTAAAAATAATATGATGATTCACTAAACAATTACAGAAGGTTTTGATTAATGAACAAAACATTGTCTAGGTCCACAAACGCTAACAGACAACTCTGAAGTCACAAAAGCTCTGGGAACAAACTTTTGTTTTTGTTTCCTTAATTCATTTGGTGGCAAATCTGATCTGATGTGAACTCAATTGGCTGAAAATTCTAACCTGAACCAACCTGAAATTGTTTACAGTCTTACACAGTTTATTTCACTTGCTGTGACTATTTATACATTTCTGTCACCGGAATCGTGATGCATTTGAATACACACTGGGGAACTTAGTGTAATATGTATCTATTGTATCATTTTTCTGAAATCTGAAAGATTCTGAATACCAAAACACATTGGGCCCCAATTTGGTTAAGTTTTTACATTCTTCATCAAAACTCCCCAAATTTCATGTATAGAACATTCAAGGGGAAAGTTGTCATCTTCCTCTCTGGCTCCCAGATACCTTGAAACTTTAATACAGAGCAGTTTTTTAGAAGGGAAAATTTAAGCTTATTGTAAAACTTGTTTTCAATGCCTGGGTTTTCATTGATACACACTTAACTGCAAGGCTCCCAAAATGCGAGCTCCCACGGAGGACACTAACGATACAAAAATCAATAAGGTTGGGGCCAGGCGCGGTGGCTCATGCCTATAATCCCAGCACTTTGGGAGGCCGAGGCAGGTGGCTCATGAGGTCAAGAGATCGAGACCATCCTGGCCAACATGGTGAAACCCCATCTCTACTAAAAATACAAAAATTAGCTGGGCATGGTGGTGCATGCCTGTAGTCCTAGCTACTCAGGAGGCTGGGGCAGGAGAATTGCTTCAACCCAGGAGGCAGAGGTTGCGGTGAGCCAAGATAGCACCATTGCACTCCAGTCTGGGTAACAAGAGGGAAACTCCGCCTCAAAAAAAAAAAAAAAAAAAAAGATCAGGTCTGTCTGCCTTTGAGGAACTTATCAAGACATTGATGATGCTGATTTGGTCAAGGGCAGCAAGGAAGTCTTGGTCGTAACTTATCTACTTTGTATTGGCAAGTTACAAGGGAAAGAGTATTGGGGGTTGCTGAGTCAATGCAAAATCAAGCACATAAGTAGGAAACTGATCTGTTTTTAAAAATCATCATTTTATTAAATGGCAGTAAGCTGTCAGAGATCATTACCATCTGTAAAATTCATTTTTTAGATGGAAAATACATTGAATTAAATACCAGATGCTCTTTTGCCTAATTTTTCTCTTAGTATTTTCAATGCATCACCAATCTTCCTGTGAGAATTATGTTATGATTAGTTAAGTCTGGGAAGAAATTAAAGGAAGGGTGGGGAGAGGCAGACACTGCAATTAAAAAAAGTGAACATGACAAGAGCACACAGCCCTTCGGATCATTCACAGGGAAGACACGAAATATTAAGGATTCACAATAGAGCTGTCTTTTTCAAGAACTCAGGTAAGCTAACCTTTAGACCTCAGCAAGTGGCTAAGAAGACGATGAACTTCTCTTTATTAAACATAACCAGAAATAAGCTCAAAGAAAAATGTTATCTTAAGTTAATTCTGAATCATTGAACTCTTTAATATTTGCTGCATGTTTTACTCTTCTGGAAGAATGTACTGTTTTTTTTGTTTGTTTTAATCAATTTTGAAATAATTTTTATTTTCCTTTCTCAACTATTATAGCCCCTAATGAATAACTATCCCATGTGGGGAGAGAAATTCTATTAGCTCTGGAAAGACGGCTAGAAAGGCATTCTCAAAGTAAATTTTATGCTTTTTCAGCCACTGTCACTCTGGTGGCTTTTAATAGGTCACTTCAGGAAACTTTACGATATAGGCACTAGTTTTTTGTGGTATGCTGACAGTTTGCATTTGCACAGGTTCACCTTAGCAGACTTAATAATACTTTGCAGACTCTATTCTCTGGTTCAATATATTTCAAAATGATTCTCTCATCACCCCTGATAGGATTCTACAGCTAGGAATGAAATGGAACAAATGCATACATTCACTCTGGGGACACATTCTGGAAAATAGCACAATATTTCTTGTGTAGGTAATTACACCAAACACTAGTCATGCTTTACTTCCTCATTTCAGGCTCTTAAAATTTTTTTCACAGAGTATGCTAATCCTAAATTATAGAAAAAACAATTATATTGCTGGAAGTGAAACTATAAGTGTGAATCAAATAACTGAATTAAAACTACAAATCGCAAATCTACTCATTAACAAAAAAACCCAATCAGACTGTCAGAGTTGGCCGTCACTCTAGAGGTTTTCTACTTTAACCTACCCAATTCAGGAATTCATTTTACTACAATATTCTTCAGAGTTAGTTAATCAACTTTTGCACAAAGACAATGAGCATATCACTCTATTAGAGAACAATTCTGCTTGAATTTTTAAAATATTGAGCAAAAATCAATCACCCTTAGTTCTATTCCCTGAAAACACATGAATTTACTCTTTCTCATATGACAGATTCGATACTTGAAGACAGCCTTTATGTTTCCATAAGTCTCTTCTCATCTCCCTTAACAGCACATTACATGTAAAGGCTTCCATACTTCCAAAGTTGGGGCCCTCTTACCTAGATGCACTAAATGTTCTGAAGTGAGGTAGGTTTTATTGAAAGAGGCTGGGCTCATGACCAAGCATCTAGTTTGCTTAAAGCCACAACAGTGAGCTATGTAACTTAGACTTGAACCTCTAGGAGGAAACAGGCTGAGAAATACGGTAACAGTGCATCCTACATTGGGCTGTTGTGAGGCAAAAATGAAGAATTATGTATGCAAACGCAACCTGTAAATGATACAAAGCTTTATAAAGGTTGGGGAAAATGAAAATTGCCTATCTATCTATCTATCTGAGACAGGGTCTTTCTCTCTTATGTAGACTGGAGTGCAGTGGCATGATCATAGCTCACTGCAGCCTCAACCTCCAGGGTACAAGTGATCCTCACATCTCAGCCTCCCGAGTAGCTAGGACTACAGGTTGATGCCACCACGCCCAGCTTTTTTTTTTTCCCCACCCTATAGAGAACAGGGTTCTTGCTATGTTGCCTAGGATGCTCTCCAACTCCTGGCCTCAAGTGATCCTCCTACCTCAATCCCCTAAAGTGCTGAAAGTATAGGCATGAGCCACTGCGTCTGGCTAAATATTTTAATTTAACAATATTTTTTAAAAAACTATGTTCCTAGGTTATACTAGATGAGAAGGGGTAAGTATTCATCAGTTGATAAGAATGCTCTTTTAATGGGACTCAGATTAATTTTTTAAAAATAGGTCACATTTCTGGCTTCTATGACATTATGGTCACGTAAAATTCTGGATGTTTTTATACCCACATAATATGCTGGTAAACTTGGTCTCTCCCATTCCGTATTTTTATAATTTATGTTTTGTATTTAGATGCAAGGCTTTCCATATTTTCTTATTAAGTTGATGTCTTCATAATAAACTTAATAAGAAAGCTGCTTTTCACGTCTTTGTCCAAATCTTTGGTAATAATGTTGAGCAGGACATGGCCAAGGACAGGGCCTTCTGCCAAACTTCTAGAGCCCTTTCATGAAGATCATTTGAACATTAATAAACTTCAGCAATCTAAGAATTTTTTTTATAATCCAGTCAAAATTCCTCCCATTTTGTTCACAAAACATCATAACATTACCTGTCAAAAGTCTTGCTAAAATCTGGATAAAGCATGCCAATAGCATTCTCTTACTCAATCTTATGACCAACCGTAACTATACCAATTAGAAAATGAGTTTGGCTTTTGCACCAGTCAGGGTCTAATTAGGCAAATGGAGGCAACCTAAAGCGTAACTAACAGTGGGAATTTAAGGCAGGGAATAGGTTAGTTACACAGGCTACAGAGAGCTGAGGCACCCAAACAGGAGGTAGTGAGAAAACCCAGGGGTTGGCAACAACAGGAAGCCACAGAAGAAACAAATAGGGGAAAGAGTGACACTGAAGCTCAGGGGACAGGTCCCCAGTGGAACTGGGAAGCCTGGGGCACCTATCTGGAGAGGGCCGGAACATAGAAGAGAAGCTGCCTTTGCCTTACCCTGATGCTGACCCTGGCCTCTCCTTTCCTGCCATCTCCCAGTTTCCTGACAGTGTCTCCTATTAGCAGAACCTGCATGGAAGCAGGGGCACAGGAACTGAGAAAAGGCAGTCAGCAG